ATAGTGATGATTTACAATGTAAAACCTCAAAGCACGTTATGAAATGTGCTTTATGAAATGACTCTTCCTAGGTCAGGTTATTAGGAATTTTTATACCCAAACAAGCTGTGATTTTGTTGTTTTCACGCTGCATGCTGTTAGAGGAGGAAATAATTTGTTTGCTGTCACCCTGTTACAGAGCACTTCTATGCACTCAGAAAGAAAAGGGAGGAGTTCTTAATTAAACTTGAAAGAACTAATATAAATTACATTTTATGTAAAATGTCTATTTAAAATGTATGCGCAACTTATATTTTACTGCTGTTCTTTTTAGTCTAGCGTGTGACATAGTCTTTGATGAGCACTGATGTCTAATATCCTGCCCGGTGTGTTTAGACACAGTTGAGCAGAAATGAAGGGTACCAAGGCTCTGCTTCGTGAAGAGTCGGCACAGTCAAGGAGAGAGGTTTTCTTAATTTCCTTTGAAAGTTGCAAATGAATTGGCAGTTGCAAGCCAACATTTAGCAATAAGTGTTTTAAAATGGGCATTGAGACCCTCAGAATCAAAGCAGCAGCCAGTGAAGGTGGAATGAAGTGAATTGACTCTATAGTGCATGAGAACAGCAATCGGAGGGAGTTTCACACAGTGTTAACTAGTTACTGCCAGTTGGGAATGCTAAGGGAAATGAGAGGAGGAAAGAGGTACCAATAGCTGGCAAATACTGATCCTCCTGATTTTGGCTTCAAGGAAGAAGATGGTAGAAGAGCTGCTCCTGTGAGCTGCGTTTGTGACAATAACAGCAAGGTTTGCACCCTTGGTGTAATTGTGGGTGCAATCTCGAGCGTTAAAATGAAACGCTAGCAGTGGGTGATGTTTTGGCGTGAGTGGCCTGTGCCTGTCTCTTCCTGACCTCTGTGTTTTGTGAGAGCATAGGGATGCTGTTGTACTGCTGAAAATTGCACGAGCCCTTTGGAAAACCCCCCTTGGAGGCCTATTTGCTGTTTCTCTTTGTTAGAATTTTTGGGTTAGGACTTTGTGACAGATCTGGCCATCTGGAGCTGTGTGGCTGAAAAAGCCGTGCTATAAAAAAGCAGAGCCTTCTAACTGAGCTAGGTGTGGGTGGTGTTTCAATTTCAAATTGCTTCTATACTTAAGTCTTAGCTAAAAGAGAACTCCAGTAAGTATTTCTGTGTTTGTTGTGGTAGGAAAATGTCGTTGTCTTTCATGAAAACCTAAAAATCAAAGGAGAGCTTATTATAAGGTATGGTAAATGACACTGCTGACACACTCGCCAGCTAATTCAAAACACATGGTTTATAACTGCTTTTTAAACTACATACTATTCTAAAATTCTGCTTAGGCTCTGTAATTGTGAGGTGGCTCATGGTGGAATGTGATTTAAAGCTATAGTTGCAACTCTTGTCTTTACAGAGCTGTGTTTTTTAATGTTGCCAAAGGGAAAAGAAAAGAAGGCTTATTTGTGGTCTATGGATCATTAAAATGTGTTAAACTAAGATGGCCTTAAGTGAAATTATTGGATACATTTGTAACAAATACTGAATAGCATGGAATGATATTTTTAGAACAAATAGAGTTTGAATCAAAAGACTGAAAGTTGGGTGGGTTTTTTTAATTGCAAAGATAAAAGGCAATACTAGATAGGAAGGACTGTGAGGTGTAATGGTGTGCCATGGAAGTTGACATGACAAATTAATAGATCTTTGAGATAAAGATCTTTGTTCAGGCTCTGACATAAGTGCATCTAATGCTGTTTATGCAATGCCAGAAAGACAAAGAAATCTTAGCTATTTAAATGCACTCTCCGCCTCCAATGACTTGTTGGAGCAGTGATTGAAATGTCAGAGCTGAGTTTTAGAACACTTTTACTGGGAAACTTTTGATAAGTACATATGCAAAACTTCTTTCGAAATGAGTCGGCTTATTTTTCATTTGTCTGTAGTACCTAACAACTGATGTAGTTGTGAGGTATTAGGCTTTGCTGGATGGTGTACAGGAAAAGATAATGTGTGCCAAGCGTCTCTGACTAGTTGGATAAACCAGAACCGGATGAAATCACACTCTCTTCTCCAACTTCAGAGGTCTTGCTGCAGTTTTAGACCTCTGCTGAGGGAGGAGAATAAGCATGATTTGGTGTTTTTAAGTATGCAGTGCAGGCAGAGTTGCTATATACATCAAGTAGTAAAATATATTTTGACAGGGGCTGTTGGGAAACTAAAATTCAATGTATTAGAAAAGATGAATGGTTACTAAGCTGATTAACTCATAACTTGGTATATCAACAGAGAGGATGCTTTCTCTGTGCTTGATGCTAACTTAATTTTCTGGTGTGAAACTGCTGCCACAAAGTTGTTTCAAGAGTAAGGTACTAGTTGATGGCTGAGATTGTCTGAAGGACAGCAAGCACAGAATGAGCCATCCAGTCTGTAAGTTTGAAAAGCATCTGCTGAGAGTGAGTTTCCTGAATCAAACCTATGGAAACTATAGCATTTGTACTAATGTTCTCTCACATGGCCCATGAGTGCTCCGGGCAGTTTTATTTCTTTCCTCTTCATCCTGCTGCTTGTTTTTTTCCTTGCAAAAAGGAATGTAATGTGTGCTGGAATCAGCTTTTCCGAGTGCCGTGCATTGTACTTTTCAATTTACAAGTATATCTGCAGCAGTGTTCAACAAATATTATTCATTTCCTAAATATGTCCTGTACGAGAGTCTGCTAAAGTGTTATTGCTACTGTAGTTTGGATTCCGGACAGTGAAGTGGATGCCAGAAATTGTGTCATGGTCTCTCAGCAGCAGCACTTTTTTCTCCCTTGCTGATTCTCCAGCGTGTTGGCCACATCACCAACTGACTTCATTCTAATGCTAAAAACATTACAGCCTGCTACTTCCTTCTAAACACATTTTCACCTCCAGCTGAACTACTGAGTTCAACTGCTTCAATCACCACAGCAGTATTAAGTTTTGAGAGATCAGTCTTAATTGGGGTTCAGTGGCATATGTATCAAAAGGAGTTAATGACCTTTGATCGTGGTTGTTAAGTGGATGGCCCAACCATCTGTGCAGAGAGGAGAATTGCAGTTTAGTGCCTTAGACAATGTAAGTTGGAGAAGAAAGCAGTGAGAGAGGTGGAACCCTGTTTCGGTGGTGCAACTAGACAGGCGGATGTGCTGCAGGAGGGAAAAGGACAGGAGGGACACGACATGAGCATCATGGGCAGGAACTAGGGGAAGGTGTGAGGATTTAGTAGTCAAGGAGCCATAAAGTATTTCCTTTACCTGTTTTCTAACCTTTTCAGAATGCCACTCACTTGGTGTGCTGGTCTCTTCTTGCACGATGGCTAACCTGATAACGTGATGCAAGCATAAAAACAAAGAAGCAGACAATGCCAAAACACAAATAAGCAAATACGAGAGGAGTCTAATACTGATGAGGAAGTATAAATGGTGTTGCACATGCATGTGATGATTAAACTCGGGACACTATGAGATGCTCTCCATAAACTTTTTGGAGAGAAGTCAGAAGGACGAACTGCTCGAGCTGAGGGACAGTGGTAGCAACAAAAGAAATAACTGTGAACTGATGTGTGTACGTGTAGGTTTAATATTTGAAGCGTTCAAGCTGTAGCAATAGGGGCCTTTAGAAAAGGTCACTCTGTGTGGCTCTCACTCCTTGCATTGTGTTGTCAGTGCTACCCCTACCTAGTTTCACCACAAAGAGCTTGCTTATCTATAGAGGGGCTGTGGTTGCCTGTGAAAGGTTATTCAGAACGAACACTTGATCTATTTGTAATTAATAGCTGAATGCAAAGCTCCTGAACTGTCATAGAATAAAGAACCAAGTTTCTAAAAGATGCATTGAACCTGCAACGATTATGCATGTTGACCTTAGAGTTGGCTTCTGTTGTTCATTCATGTTTTGTTTACAGTAGGTTATAAACAATACACACTTTCAAGTACATACAAGCGCTAAATATTTTACTAGGTGCATTAATGTGACAAAGCTTTTGGTCTGTTAACTGGATGTTTATTTCCTGTAAAAATACACTGTGTTTGGCTATCAGATTTTTCCTTTGTGTAATGCAAGTGTGCCTTTTTATTTGGATTTTGCTTTTACATCCTTTTTCAGATACTTATTGCTTACACTTTTCCAAGGGGTTCTAATGCTCAGTTTCCAGAGTCCTTTATTCCATGAACTGAAAATGTAGTTGAAACAAAACCAATACTACTCTCTCTGTCTCAAAATAACTAATAAAGAAAACTACATATAAGTAATACATCTGCATTTCTCCAAAATATATGTTGCTGCATGGCAACAAAGCACTTCTGGATTCAAATTGCAGCCCAGTAGTTTCAGGGTCATGATGATAAGAGCTCCATGGAAAGACATTTTTTGGTAAGGGAAGGCTGTTGATTCTTACTGTATAGTTTAATTTGACTACATGACATCACCCTTACTGAGTTAAGAACACATTTGATGGGAAATACTGCTGCATGCTGATGCAGAAGTCCAGAAATACCCAAATGCTTAAAATTCTCAATATTTTATAAGGTTCTTTGATTTCTTCCTAGTGCAGCTTATGGTATTGTTAGTGCTCAGGATTCTCCTGTTTCCTTTTTCTTAAATGTCCTCAGACAGAACAGGTCCTGTTGATGCACTGACATTTTGTTCAATAAAGAGTATGGCATTTGCTAATGAAGATCACTACTTAAATTTCCCTGAAATTTTGTGATTTGTTCTGAGCTTGCTATATTTAGAAGAACATAGAGATTATGCTTGCTTGTTCATGGAGGAAATCTAAATGAGCCTTTAAAAAAAAATATTAATCTTGCTTCTGTGGGTTTTTATATTCTGAAAAGTGAATGCTTCACCACTTACAGAACATTAGGACTTGGGGTCTTTTGGTGTTTGATTTGCTGTCTTTTTCTCCCTGCCTGGATGTCAAGGACAGATTGTAGTTATTGTTGGCTTATCTCATTCTCAGTTGACTCCTTCTTGCTTTGCAGTTTTGCTCTGTCAGATGAAGCATACAGATCCTTAAGGGACCAGGACAAAGATCAGTGTATCCTTATTACAGGAGAGAGTGGAGCTGGAAAAACAGGTAAGAAGCAGTTTTGTTCTTGTTCAAAAACATTCAGACTTACTCAGTCTTGCGAAGTGATGATGGAGTCTGTAAGAGTTGAGAGATACCAGTATCTCTTTGTGTCTGGCGGTTGCAGAAAATGCATGCTGTCATGCTTGTTGCTGTAGGCGTGAACTCACACAGACTGGTGTTTTTTCACACTGTCACCATGATGCAGTCCTATCATGTTAACACAGTATCCTCATCAGTATGCCAGTGCTGGTTTGTGATAGGGTGCTGCCAGGGCCTGAAAACTTTTAGGCTCTCCCTGTGGGAAATATGAAGATGGAGGAAACTGTATGCCCTTGGTCTTCTAGACTGGAACACAATCCTTTGATACTTCTGCATGTCTTTTAACAAATATATGCGTTTAAACTAGATTATACCATTTATTCAAGGGAAATAAATAATAGTAGCTGATCACTTTAGAAATTTCAGTCTTTTGCATGCTGTGCTCAGCTGCAATTCTAAGATTGGCTTGTGTACCAGAACACTCTGTTTCTCAGGCAAAGCTGAAATTGCCTCGAAAATGACTGGTAATTTTTTAACTGGAATGGTAGAAATCAAGTGAGGATTGCATAACTTGGCAATATTTTAGGTAGACCTTAAAAAAGAAATAGTTATTTTCTGAAATACCAATTTAAATCTGAGGTGAGTTGCAAAAGACACAGCGAGTAGGAATGGATGCATCTGTGTCCACGTAATTTAAGAGATTTTTCCTTTGAGTCTGCGAAAATGTGGAGCTTTGTATGCTTGTACTGAGCAGGTCTTAAAGTGGGTAGCAAGGAGTTGCTTTCCAAGCCTTTTGTGAAAATGTCAAATGTAGCCTTCATCTTTGGTTTTTCTTTGACTAGTGACATCCAACTGAGAGGTCTTGTAATCTTGGAATGTAATCCTTTTTTTCAGTTGGATAACATGAAAATACATGTGTGTTCAGTAAGAGTGTGTGTTAAAATAATCAAATTCTTACTAATGTGATTGTTAGGGATTCTGTCTAGGAGTTCAAAATTCAGAAAGGAGTCTTGTACTGGTATTGTTTAATGTCTTGATTTCCTCAGGGACTGTGAATTATCAAGCACTTCAGACAACAGAGGTCCACCTGTTATGCATTTATGTATTCAGTTGAAAGGTGTAGCAGTGGTTGAATTTCTGAACTTCTCTATTTGTAGAGAATATTCTAGTAGATTCAGATTTGTATGGAGATTCTGACTTCTGTAATTTTCATAGCCATATGGGACATAATATGCATTACTCCTTTTTATAAAGGTAAGTACAGAATAATATAGGGTTTCAAATTCAAGGCAATAATCAACTTGGAATCTGTGCTATTCTTTCTCTAACATTTTATGTAACTACTGTTTCTGAAATGGGGCTATTAGCTGAGAAGTCAGCATTCCATTGTAAAGAGAAAAAGGAGGGGACGGGGGGAAGTTGCTGAAGTTGAGGAAACAAACTTGTTTAGTACAGATCCTATATAACTCTGGTGTAGAGTTTTGGTAACCAGAACATTTGACATGTTTGGGCTGGAAGAATTGAAACTGAACTGTCATCAGTGGTTTTTTTTTTTTAATTTATTTCCAATGTTGTTTTTGTTTCACTGCATGTTTATATTGCTAATCAGTAGTAACATTGTGCAAGAAAACAAGGTACCCTACCAGAATGAGTGGTGTATTTAAATGTTTTTAGATGTTAAGGTGGTGATTCCTTTCCTGGTGACTTTATTGGACCAGAGTTCCTAATAAAAGAAAGGGCCTTTATTTTCTTTCAGTGATGTTCAAAGCCTATCTTGAAATCGTTGTGCGTTACCTTAATGCATATTATTTCATAATACCCTATTTGCTGCTTCAGTGCTTTCTTCTCTCAGTGGCTGAGTAGCTCTACTTAAAGATGTTGGCTGTTTTAGGAAATATTTCGAATAAAATAATTTGGTAATTCCAAGCTCTGAAGGGAACGGATTCTTAAAAATGAGAGCTGGGTTAGACACGCGGTTAAAGGAGATGGGAGGCTTTACAGACACACCTGTGGTTCTTGCTTCCTGTGTGTCAGGTTTGCTCAGTTATATGGGATGGTAATTTAATACCAGCAAACAAATTTGATCAAATAAGAAAAAATCAAAATCCAAGAGATAACTTCTTGTTTGTCAGTTCTTTCCTGAAATGAAACCCTTAAATTTGTAACCAATCTCTGAAGAACAAGTAATGGGACTTTTATGACCACTGTGTTGAGTGGATAGGGATTCCAGCTGTTAGTAATTACAGTGTATATCAGCTGATATTGCCTCAAATTTCTCTACCTTGCATCATACTAAACATCACAGACTTTGTTTATAAACAGAATCCTGTTACGGCTGCTCTTTGTTCTACCAGCAAAGGCATTGGATGGATTACTTAGTATTTGTTTCTGCCTGTATATGAGTGAATGACACCAATATAAACTCAGCTTTGAGAGCCCAAAAATTGTTGCAGACTTTGTTAGAAGTTTATACTTCCAAATTGGTGCCATTGTTTAAATGAATGCTTCACTTTCTCTAGTGTTATGTGATGTTGAATTGCGGTTACTCATTGACTCGTAGTGTACTTTACCGTTGTAACTACATGTGAATAGTGTTTTGTCTTTACACTTGTGCTGTTGTGTGTCTGCTGATATAAACTGATCGAATTTTGTGTCTTGAAACTGCTTGGGCCTATTTTTTCAGGCTGGATTAAAACAGTTCCAATGTCTCAGCTAGGGATAATGCTCTTTCCTTACTGAATGTCTCCTACTGAGGCTAAATTAGAAAGTAACAGGTAATGTGCCATATCCACTGGTGGCTTCTTTAGCTTGGGAGGGCTCTAGGTGTTGAAGTCAATAGGGCTGCTGATGTGACAGGTCTCATAGCACGATATGCTCCTTCCTCAGTTCCAGATGGTACAGCAACGTAGAAGAAAACGGAAATGAAATGTGCTTACAGTTGCTGTCTGGCATCATGAAAATGTGATGGAGATCAATTCTGCAAACCATTTAATAGCCTATTTACCAATACTTATCACTTTATTTTGTTCTCCCCCCACAGAGGCAAGCAAACTTGTCATGTCATATGTAGCTGCTGTGTGTGGAAAAGGAGCAGAGGTTAATCAAGTAAAAGAACAACTTTTGCAGTCAAACCCAGTTCTTGAAGGTAAGAATCTCATTGAGCATGTCAGA